ATCTCAGCTAAATTAGTTTTAAAAAAATCATAAATTATTTGTAAATTGTTTTTATCTTTCAACTGTATTACAGTCAATCCATTATAGAATAACCTCCTGGTTTAATAAGCTTTAAGTATATATTAATTAGGTTAAAATTTATTAGGAAATTTAAAATCACCTTAAGTTGTATAAAGATATGCTTTTCTATCCAGTAACCTATACATATCCGTGTTTTCAGAAAAAATGAATACAATTAAATGTTGCAACGCTTTTATTTCTCGATATAGAATATATTTTAATAAACACAATTGCCTAAAATCACATTTTATTGATAAAAATTAAAAAATAAAGATTTGGAAATTGTTTATATGAACTTTTTTTGTAGATCTTGATGTGAACTATCGAACTTTTAAATATTTCTCTCTACTTATAGGAAACTCTGTATAGAGTGCGTTGATTACAATAAGCCTTCAGTTTATTTACGAATGGATAAACTATTATAACATTTATAATATTATTCCACTAATTATGTTCAGTAAATAAATAAATAAAAGGATATGCTAACAGTTATTATTAGATAAGAAAACAGAATTAATGGTTATCTATGAGGCAATCCTTTGTTTGCCTATTTGGGAACTTCCCACTAAAATCTACGTCTGTTACAATAAACATGGACCATACCTGAGAAGCAGTATTCGGTATACTCGCTCTCATTATTTCGTCTTAAGGTCCGTTTAGACATTTCACAAACTATGGGAAACAGAATATTTAACTTGACAAACAACGACACTAGCGCTAAAAATAACTTTATCTTATAGAGTCGAAAACCAAATGATAACGAGTTTTGTTGAAGATACACGATTAAAATACCTCAGAAAATAAAGATCGGACATGCATAATGTAAGAGAGGGAATCGTTCAGCATTTAATCCTATTTATAATGAGTAGTTATTCAAAATTGTATCTTAACACGATGCCATACGTGGAAAGAGAAAAAATAGTATTGAATACCAAATTATTATTTGTTTTATTGAAGATATGGATTAAAATATCTCAGAAACTAAAGAATTTTGTCTTCTTAATAATGAGCTATTATTCAAAATTATATCTTAACCCAACACCGTGTTAAAAAGTAGGAGAGAGAAAAAGATAGTGTCCAAAACAAATGATAATATATAGTACAAATGCTAATATTATTACAACGTAGAAATTTTATTTTTAAAACATTATTATCAATTGTGGATAAATGGTTGACTGTCGTGAATAATGAAGAGAAGAATAGTTTGGGTGATCAGTCAAATAAGAAGGCAAAAATAAATGATAATATTTATTTTGACATTTGCCGACGTTTCGACGTGAAGTCCAGGCCTTCATCAGGGCTGTCTCCAAGAAAGGTTGATGGAGAAGTGACCTCACTGAACTTCAGGTCGAAACGTCGGCATATGTCAAAATGAATATTATCATTTATTTTTGCCTTCTTATTTTTTCACTGATCACCCCAACTATTTTTCTCTTCACTATTATCAATATATAAAAAATAAGAATATAAATGATAATAACAGCAGAAATTCTTAGGCATAATGCAAAATATATAATAACATAAGGATATATAACCTTCCAACTGGAGATTTCAACATAAATACTATACAGTCGTTGGATAAAACATAAGATAGTAAATATCACTCATTTTAATAAATAAATTATAAATAATTAAGGACATTTTTAGATTGCCCTTGTTTTGTTGTATATATTTTATGTAATAGAACTTTGTTATTAACTTTAAAAATTTCTTACTAAACGAAATTAAACTAATTAACCCTGACTTCAACACACCTAGAATGCATGGATTAATAAAGTTACATGAAAGTGGCGCTCAACTTAGTCCTATCGTCAGTAATATCAATGGGGAAACCGAAACATTTGGTAAATATCTCAATTCTACACTCAATAATCTAAGAAGAATGATATAAATAAATCAATAAAGGAGGACCAAATGCTTGAACTAATAAATAAAATAGACAATAGGTAAATATTGTTTGGTATCTTTTGATGTAGAATAATTATTTTACTTATATCAACTGGAAAGATGTAATAAAAATACTGGGATACAATAGAACCACATACCCTAATTAAAGGATTTTATGGAAGATATGAGTTAACATATCTCATAAACTAAAAATCGGACCTGCATACTGTAAGCGAGGAAAATGTTCAGCATTTCATCTACTGTTGTCCAAAATTCCAATGCCGCCTAACTATTGCAAGACCAAGACCAGGACTGGTAAAAAAAATCGTTTTTGTGAATGAAAATTTAAAGTTACAAAATTAAAGTTTGACAATTTTAGTTACTATGTGTAAAGAATTATTAGAACCTAAATACTTTTGCATTTAACTCTTCCAATTTTTCATTCAGGCTTAGTTATGTTTCTCATCTCAAAAAGTGCAGTAATATCTCTTCAGTAATAAGCTAATAAGTAACTGCAAGACTGTTATGAGACACTTGCGCAAGACCAAGACCATGGCCAAGACTGAGTTTGCAACACTAATTTCATCTTCTTTAGAATGAGCTGTTTTTAAAAATTAATGTTTTATATTATTAATGTGTGGTGTAAAGAACACACATTAGTTGTTGTTTTTTGTTTTTTTTTGTCAAATAAACAGCATTTAATGTGATTTTTATTACTCGGACACTACAAAAGCTAAGCCCCTCTCTCCCCTCCAATGATTATTATTGGATCGATATGTGGTGAAGTAACTATCGATTGTGATTATCGAACGGATTACAATAGATATAGCACTAGCGGTTACATAAGGAGGCCAGAGCACTGTTACAGTGTCCTGATATATCTCTCGTGGTCTGTGGTCTGGCTCTTACCTATCCTAATATCTAGTGGCCATCGGAGGATCTATGGATCTTGCACTGCTAGCCTATCGTGATATCTAGCCTTAGTCCGGCCATATCGGAGGATCTATAGATCTTGAGCTTCTAGCCTATCAAGGCTGAGGTACAATGCTATGGGTTTCGAGGCGAAATATTTGAGTTTCATAAAAAAAAAAAAAAAATATTTAAAAAAGTAACTACACAACTTTTTGTTGTTATAAGAGATATATTATAATTGAAAAATAAATTATATTAAACAATTAATTTTTATTTAAACATTTTACTCAAAAACAAAGAATAATACAAAAAATCTGAATACTTACATTCAAAATTCTTTATTTTCTGACATAATATCTGAAGATTATTGCTAAAAGCTACAGTACTCTGATCACTTGGAAAATATTTTTTATTGAATTTGAAATCGTGTTATGCGTTCATAGACGTCAATTTTCCAGTTAAGGAATTTCGACCGTCCTTTTTAATGTAAAGACGAAACAAAAATAATAAATTTCTTTTTAGTGTTAAAAAGTATTAAAAATTTTGAATAAAGAGGAAATACCGATCTTTAAGGGAACGCTTAAGCCTACAAAATTTTTATTTTATTTTTTTAATAATTAATAGTTCACCGTTGACTTATAAAGGAAGGATATGGTCCGGGGTGGCGGTCATAAATAGGGTAAATAGTGGGAAAAACTATTTTATTAAAAACCAACGTTTCGACCCGACTTTGCAGGTCTTCTTCAGGGAGGTGTGTTCAGCTAGGGAAAAATATTATGTCGAAAACCAAATGATGAAGGGTTTTGTTGAACATATGGATAAAATTATTTCAAAAATTCAAAATCAGACCTGCATACTGTAAGCGAGCAAAATTGTATGCATTTCATTCAGTTTGTAATGAGCTGTAAATCAAATTTGTAATTTGAAGTTACGCCGAGTTAGAGAGTCGGAAAGGGAAAAAAATCACCAAATAATAACTGTTTTAAACATTTGGACTGAAATATCACAAAATTCAAATACCATGGTGAAATTGAGAAAACAATTATGGCAATTCAATATAGATATCTTTTTTAATCAGCCATAATAATGTGTTCTGTTAGATTTTCTGTTGTGCTCGATAAAGTTTCAGCAAATTACTGACCCCTGTTACACAAGGCCTATTAACAAATGTTTTTTAACTTTTGACAAAAATGTCATCTTATATAGTAAGTGTTTTTAGTAGCATTACTCTTACTAGTAGGCCCGTGCGAAAAATTCGTACAGCATATAATTATCAAATGCCAGATTAGTAATAAAATAAAATAATGCAACGTATCAAAAGATAAAGAAATCAAATGTTACTTTATCGATAAATATAATCGACAAAGAAAACAAAAATTAATTTAAATCTTCATTTTTGTTTGAAACCAACATGTTTACAAATTTCAGTAAGCTGTATCTTTGCTAAAAATTGTCTGATTTCAATGATTTTTTTCCCTTTTGTAGGGAATTTAGTAATATTTTATATAATCACGGGCATAACCAAGGGAAAAGTGTGTAATTTTTTAGTTATTCGCAAATAACTATGTATCTTACTAACTATAGTTATTCTTTTATAACTTGTTTGCCTGAATTTTCGGGGTAATTGGACTATTTTGCCAGCCTGAAAGAGAAGGAAGCCTTCGAAATTGGCGGCTGAATCTTGAGTTTTGGTGAAGAATTAACGATGATATGGCTTGCCGATCAAAAACACCATCTATAAATAATATAAACTCCTCCTCTCTCGATCATAGAGGCCTCAAGTCGACGAAATGAGACATTTATTCAATGACAGTACTACAATTAATGTAAGGTTGTGTGGATGCGACCCTATGCCTTGCGTTATCTCGAGAATAGTACGTTTTTGCTGTATAAACGATGGATCCGATAGTCCGGATCCGGGTCTTGCAGTACGCATCTAAATCTTCTAGATCTAATTTATATCTAGTATATATATAGTAAATTTATATATCTAGTAAATTACAGTGGGATTCCGGATGTCTCAGTGGAATGTAATCTATATATACCTTAAATAATATGTAAAGATATCATAATCAAGATATGTTTAAGATTAAATAGTGATAGAGCGCTGGTTGAGATCTACCATTGAGCGAAGATAAAGGTTAACTGCAAGATGGCGGTCTCTCTCGCCTTGGCTCTATGCAAATGGTTGCAGTTTGAGTTCCTTCAGTTACTGCGGTCTTGTCTTCTCCTCTAAGGATATCTTTTGTTTCTTGATTTAATATCTTTTCTAACAATGGAGACATAGATATTAAACTATACATACCAGCCCTGAAGCTAGGTTCTTAAAAGGATACTCGCAGCAGGAAAGGATTTAAAGTTTTTTTTTTTTATTATTTCATAATGATATTTACAACTGTATTAAAGAAATACATTTAGTAATTTTGAACATATGGATATAACGACGTGAAAACCCTTGTTGAGAATGATATGTCTACATTAGGAGATCACGGGGCAATCTTCTTTTCAGAAGCCTCGGAGTGTTATCAGGAATTGAAGAGGAAGCAAGGTTAGAAACGAGAGGGTTGGGATGATTCTGAAGTTTGTTATGGAAGGATAGGTATCTGAATTGGCCAGATCAGAACCTTAAGAAACATTAAGGTCATTATGGATGGTTTTATTTGTAACCAAGTAGGAAGCATTGAGGATTTTACGAAGGATTTTGGATTGTAAGGATTGGATACGAAAGGAATTCGATGGTTTAGTGGAGCCCCATAGCTCAACTCCGTAAGTCATAATAGATGTTATTATAGTCATGTATATGAGTCTTTTGTAATTAATTGGAAGTTTGCAGCGTTTGTCTACTAAGTGCTGAAGTAATTGGAAATGTCGATCGATTTCTTATCGTTTCAGTCTGTTATGAGGATTCCAAGTTAGTCGTTTGTCCAGGTGGAGTACTATTAAAGGAAACTGTAGGGCAGGAAGCCATTGGTTTACGACGAAGGGTAAAGGTAATTTGGTGGGATTTATTGGAATTTATTTTATTTCTCCAGTTTTGGCACCATTCTTCTAGATTTATGATATGTGATTGAAGCATTTCTGATGCAATTGATGGGTAATTATTTACTGATAGGATATATGTGTCATCGGCATATGTGGTGATGACAATGTTGGGATAGGTAGGGATGTCAGCTGTATGAACTATATAAAGGATAGTAAATTACGAAAGTGTATGTTATTCTGCGTATCCGCCATAAAACCAACGACAGGCATCTATCAAACGGATAACAATATAAAAGAACCTAAACGAAAAAATAATGTGAAGATGGCATCCCTCTTTCTCATGCCAGTCATCTCGGCAGAAAAAAAAATTCAAGGATTTTCAATAGTTTTTTTTTTTTTAACATATTCATTTCTTAGGCTCTTCCCTTTACTTGATATCCATTTTAGGAAAATAGTCAGTAACAATTAATAAGATTGGCTCTAAAAATAGTTTCTAAATCAAAATAAATTTTAAAAATTTAAATAAATAAAATGTGTTAGGATGGAATCTCTTCTAAGCTGGTGATAATCTATAAGTACTTTGTAAGAAATATTTCTTCGCCTTTAGGATAAATTATCGATTTCATATATCGAACTATTTAAAATCGATTATTGTAGGCATAGACAAGCAATGACGGGTCCAGGAGAGAGAAGCGGTTATCAGGTGAATCCCATAAACCAGTGTTCTATATCCAACATTGATATGTGCCAAATTTTAAATAGCTTGGAACCCGTTACAGGTATGGCAAAAACTGAATCTCTCGTTGGATTTTTTTAGTTTATTGGAATTTTGGTTTATTATTTTCACTAATCAACCATTGTGATCGACCAAAAAATTCAAAAACTTAAACCCCTCTCAAAATTTGAGGTTTCACGTTTCGGGACGCGTAGAATTCGAAAAACGAATAAAAATTTTTTTTGTCCGTCCGCCGTCCGCGCATTTTCTCCGAAACTACTGGACCGTTTTTTTTTTTTAATTTTGATATAAAATCAGAGGTCACCCGAGGATGATTCTCCTTCATCGACATTACTCTCCGCCTTTAACTTTCAAAATGGCGGCCGAAAAACTGTCGCTATTGACTGTAGCTCCTAAACGAATGTACAGATTTCAATGAAACTTCGCTAAAGTCATTTTCTCGACGCCCTTTAAATTTATCTATATAACAAACAACGAAAAAGAAGCTGGAAAAAAAGTTACGAGGGATGGTAAAATTAAATAACGAATAACTCAAAAAGTATACACTTTTTGGGGGAGGTTGTGATAAGATGTTTCAAAGGTATTTAAATTGTCTAAAAAATAAAAGATGTTTCATCGAAATCAAAGCACTATTAATAGAGATATCGAGATATTTTAAAATATTTTTACTTTCACTTACGTATATATAGTAAGGGTAAGTATTGCGATCGAGAAAATTTTTTTTGTTGCATGTTAACAACAAACCAGCAAAAGAATGACCTTTCAAAGGTATCCTTGAACGGCTGCAGCAAGTCCTTCAGAATATACCGCTTTTAAAAGTTAATAAATACAGACTGCCTCCAACAGCTGACTCGATTAATCAAGCAAAAGTTCAACACCGCAGCTCCGATGACTAACGTTCCAACTGCCGTCATACTCTGAGAATAATATCAGCTGTTAAAGTTACGAGTTGGACAGTTACGATTCATCATTACCAGAGAACAAAGGTATAGTAAAATGGCGGATCTAAGGGAAGGAAAAGGGAAAAATTCTCCCAGCAAAAATACCTATTCTGGGAAAAAAAAAACGCTGCAAATTATTTCACAATGGTTTATTATTTCCGAACAACTATAAATCTAAAGTAACATTATCTTCCTAGTTACAAAGAAAAATAAATAAAAGGTGATTTCAATTACTGGACTAAACTTTTTTTTTTAATCATTACTAATATGCTAAAAAAAAGTAGCATTACTTCAGTAACACATTCAAAATTTAAAAAGTAAACAAAGGATATAACATTTGGAGTAGAACATATAAAAAAAATACTGGAGACCATATCTTTGCTCCTAATTGTCCGATTATTTTTTTTTTAAAGTAAATTTCGTAAAATTAAAAAAAAAACATTACAATATCGACAAAAAAGTGTATACTTTTTGAGTTATTCGGAATTTGATTTTATCATCCCTCGAAACTTTTTTTCCAGCTTCTTTTCGTTGAAGTATGTTATATAGATAAATTTAAAGGGCGTCAAGAAAATGATTTTAGCGAAGTTTCATTGAAATCAGTACATTCGTTTAGGAGCTACAGTCAATAGCAACGCAGGTTTTTCGCCATTTTGAAAGTAAAAGGCGGATAGTAATGTCGATGAAGGAGGATCATCCTCGGATGACCTCTGATTTTATATCCAAATTTGAAAAAAAAATCGGTCCAGTAGTTTCGGAGAAAATGCGCGGACGGCGGACGGAAAAAAAGTTTATTTATTTATTTTTTCGAATTTTACGCATCCTAAAACGTGAAACCTCAAATTTTGAGAGGGGGTTAATTTATTGATCGATCACAATGGTTGGTTCTTGAAAATAATTAACCAAAAACATTAAAAGATCGCGATATCTCTACTAATAGTGCTTTGATTTCGATGAAACTTCTTTTATTTTTTAGGCAATTTAAATACCTTTGAAACATCTTATCACAACCTCCCCCAAAAAGTGTATACTTTTTGAGTTATTCGGAATTTAATTTTACCATCCCTCGTAACTTTTTTTCCAGCTCCTTTTCGTTGAAGTATATTATATAGATAAATTTAAAGGGCGTCAATAAAATGACTTTAGTGAAGTTTCGTTGAAATTGGTACATTCGTTTAGGAGCTACAGTCTATAGCAACGCAGGTTTTACGGCCGCCATTTTGAAAGTAAAAGGCGGATAGTAATGTCGATAAAGGAGGATCATCCTCAGGTTACCTCTGATTTTATATCCAAATTTTAAAAAAAATTAGTCCAGTAGTTTCGTAGAAAATGCGCGGACGGCGGACGGACAAAAAAAATTTATTTTTCGAATTCTACGCATCCTGACTATAAAGATAAGATGTTAAATCTTGACAAAACTGTTAGTAGGAAGATATGAAACACAATGATCTCAAGAGCACTGTAGAAATAACAATGATAAGACGTTTTAAAATTTTCTTTTGGGAACTTTAGGAAACCTTTAAATAAACAAGAAAGCTTATTATTTGCATTTAAAGCCCAACCTGTCCATCACTGGGTCACCTGTCTATAACTGGTGCGTTCATCCCCGGCAGGTATAGAACAATATATATATATATATTGTATATATATACTAGTATATATGTGTATATATATACTTTATTTTATTTTCTCTTCTCCTAATCTTTACGCATAATCACTTAATTATCTTAGGGAACATATGTATATCATTATTTGTTTTTTTATATATTTTTTTGTTTTAGTTTTTACAATTTCATTCCCTACATATTAACAGTTATTATTATTTTTTTAAATTTTTATATTCCATCACTACAATGCTTTACCTATAAAATAGATTTTACTTTCCTTTCTAATTTCATTCAGTGATTATTATGCAATTATTTTAGTTCCAATTTTGTAGTACTGAACCCCTATTACCCAACTGTCCTCGTTAATTTATTCTAAGAGCTTAATTAATACTTAATGTATTACATGTATTTTGTCATTATTCATTGTAATAAGTCTTTTGACCAAATTTGTAGTTAATATATATGAACAATACTGTTATTCTAAAGGGACCTAGTCCCAGAATAAAGATGATTTTTCTATTTCTATTTCTATTTATATATATATATATATATATATATATATATATATATATATATATATATATATATATATGTTTATTTATATTTAAGAACAAAAAGCTAATATAAACAATAATTAATTAATGATTTATTATAAAAACGACTTGCTGAATTTTCACATAAAACGGTCGAAATATTGATGTATAGCATTTAAGTAAACAATTATCGATTAATGAAAAAAATTAATTTCTGATGAGTATTCATTTTTTTTTTTTTTTTATGAACCTCCAAAATTTTATTTAAATAAATTAGAATATATGAGTATACGAAATACACATTTCTGACTTGGTATTTGTCTTAACTATTTATAAATAGTAAAATAGTAGCAACTTCTAGTACTGTGGTGATGAAAGACATTAATGAGAAGGAAATTAAAATAGTTTATACATAATTAAGTATATTTACAACTTTTTAAAATTTGTTAGTGATATAAAAGACTATAGTGACATTGCCAAATATTAAAAATCTTAAATTTGGAAGGAATTTTTTCCGCTTTTAATTTTTTTAAGATTCTAAAACCTTCCCACCCCCCGAAAAAAACTAAAAAAAAAAACTGAAGCTCATGATTAGAAATTAGAATTAATGCTTAATTAATTAGAAACGAAGCTGCCAATTTTCGAAGACAAACAAAACAGCCTGTTCAGGTTAATTTTATTCAAAACAGAAAAAGAAAAAATCTATTCTTTTCCTAAACATTCAGTTTGCAGACAATACAATGGAAATTAAATGAATGGTTTTCCAATAAGATTAAAGAGAAAGTCGAAGGAAATGAGGCGTATAAATAAATATTAAAAAATATAAACTGGAAGTAGAAAGGATTGGAAGAGTACATTGTGTTCGAACATGACAGAGAGCAAAAAACTAACCAGAACTCGTAAGAGTATTTTAAATTATAAATCTATTTTTTCCGAACCAAGTTCGTGTTAATTTTTGTATAATTAAATAATTCTAATCAAATACTGAATTTAAATAATTGTACTTGAATATATCTCAGATACACTTGGCGACAGAAGGAAGTGTATCCTTAAGGATTTAAGGAAGTGTAAAGGGAAATCCTTCGCATGATAATTGGAGCGATCTGTTGTTAGAGTAATATCAAAAGGAGGAAAAGGACAAATAAAGAAGTGTTTGTAGAAACTGATTTATGAATAGGGCATGAAACAAAGGCAAGGAGGTTAAGATGTAAAGAGGTATGTTGCTTGGAACAATCTATCAGGAAGGCTCTAGCAATAAATGGCTCATGAGTTGGCAAGAGACTTTATGGGAATCTCAGATGTATGAGTAGAAACAACAAAGATGCTGCAGAGAGTAATTATAATACTAATTAAAAACAAATCCAGAAAAATGCTAACTTCATTCAGATTAACCATCCAAATAATTGAGCACTCAAAAAGTTCATTAAATATCCAAAAGATGAATAAGGAGGCCAGATAAGGGAAGAAGACGCAGTTGGGACACGGGTTACGAAAGGATGAGGTCCTCCTCTCTTGTGCAATCGGGCCAACTTTCCAGAACAGAAACAAGAACTGAAGGCTAAGACGGTAAGAAATGGGTCAATGAAGACATGGAAGGCGATTGGCAGGCTCTGGGAAAAGAATTGGGACGTTGAGGAAGAGACCCTGAAGGTCTTGGCTGGGTTCCAGGGGCGAGGTGTATTCCCACAGCTGTTGCTGCAATGCAGGCTGCTTGCTGCAACACGACTTCATGCAACCCGTATCGTGATTGTGTGTGTGTATAGTTGAGCTAGGCTTATAGCGATGTATGTGCGAGAGCTTCGGAGTACTTGAACATCTTCAGTGCTGTTAACATGCCCTGACGATGATCCAGAAGTTTGGGTTGAAACGTTGGTACCAAAATTCTTAATAGCTGGCTATCTATCAACCAGGATATGTAGAACAGTCGATTATGTTCTTTCAATAAATTAAAATATAATAAAAATAATAACAACTCAATCTGGTAAGTATTAAAATAGTCTATATAGGGATGGTATACAAAGCGTATAGGTTATAACTTATTGGTCAATATTAAAATGAAAAACCAACTTCAATATGATGTGTGTACACACTATATACATACACACTATAATCATAAAAAAAAAAAAAAACAACTTTTATTTAGTATTCCTGTGTATCAGATGTTTATTTTAAGTATATTTTATTTTTTTTTCCGATTTATTTTTTCCTAATTTTATTTTATTTTTGTTATTTCTATAAAAGGGTGCCTCAGTTCTTAATAGTCAAACTTTAGAGGATAATTCTAAACAAAATTTCCAAAAAAAAAAATTCATTTGATGCATGGGCCGATTCCGAACGAAAAATAAGTTAAGACCAATTTTGTATCTTCGTTAAGGTTTTCACATGTTTTTTATCGAATAAGAAGGAATTGCTTTTAAGTACATCATTGAAAAGTATACATTGAAGGAAGCTAGTCAACTGTTCTACATATCGTGGGTGATAAATAGTCAGGACACACTCAATATACAATTTTTTTTTTAATATTTAATAGTTGACCGTTGCATTATAAAGGAAGGAGGCGGTCCGGGGTGACGGTCATAAATAGGCTAAAGACACAAAAGCACAGCTAAAAAAAAAAAAAAAAAAAATATTCGTGTAAAGTAAAATATGTAAAAATGTTTCAATTTCAATATTTGAATTGTAGAGAGTGAAAATTCCAGCAAATGAAAATGAGAAGAATATTTCACTGGATGTTAAATATAAAATGTAACAAAAAATAAATAAACTATAATAATAAGAAAGTTATGTTGCCGTCTATACCAGTAAATTTTCAAGTTACGCCAAGGAACGTTAGGTTTTGTAACAACATGGAGGGAATCCGATCCCCTTGGTAACTAAACACCTTAATGTTTTTTTTTTGTTTTTTTTTTCCTCCATCTCTTATCGTTGTTTTTGTTAAGGATCTATTGTTAAAGATACTCGTGGTATTTATCGAAGAGCTACAAAAAAATACCATATCCATCGTTATCGGATCTCCCTAAGATTATTTGAAATTGTTGAGAGTGCCATTGGAAAATTGAAATCTTATAAAGCAACGGAAATCAATATTACAAAAATATATTTTGGTTTAACAAAAAAAAAAAAAAAAAAAATATCTTAGAAGAATGGAATAAATCTATTTATATTCGAATTAAAAAAAAAAGGGCTCGGGAACGGTTTATAACTATCGAAAAATCTCACACCAGTATGTTTATTAATTAATATTTACACTAACCCTTACTTGTCGAACCACGGGATGCGCCGAAAATATTATCGGATACTACCATTATAGTTTTAGATAGAAGCATTACTACATTAAAAAAAATCTATCAATGTGAATCATCTTGAAATAACTAAAAGGCTTCGATGGAAGATGGGAGGTGTGGCTGCTGCCGTACCGGGCGTTAAAGTCTCCAATAGGGCGCACAACTCTTCTCGTTCGGCCGGACCCTTCCAGTTTCGCTTTCTTCGTTTTCACTCCAAACTGCTTTCTCTTCCCCTTCTGGGTCAAGGGTCTGCCTCTACCGTATCCTCAGGGTCTCGTCGACCTTTCACCAAGGCCTCCATATTTATTCCTCACTTCTAGAATTTGTGCAGTATTAACCGAATCATATTTCTACCTGATGACATAGGCTCAAGTGTTGCCTGATTCTCATCTTCAAGATTTAGATATCACTGGAATACAATAGCACTTAAGAAAAATCTTGTAAATAAACGATTTATTTTAAACTTTGATTCTTGGCGGAAACTTTCTAATTTTCCTAAAATAATATTCGACGATCTAGAGAAATCTTTATATATTAATTTATTTATTTTAGATTAGTTTAGGGCGAAAGTTTCTATCAATATCATCGCCCATTTTCTTTGATTTTCTGTTAACTTGATTAAATTTTCAAAAATTGTTGTGGAGTCATGTCTCTTTTAAAAACTTTTTTTTTATTATTTCTTAATGATATTTACAACTGTATTATATAAATACATCTAGTAAATTTGAACATATGGATATAATGACATGAAAACACTTGCTGAGTAACTACCCAATGGTAGTATCCGGTAACTATAGTAACTACCAATGGTAGCACTCTAATGATATGTCTACATTAGGAGATCACGGGGCCATCTTCTTTTCAGAGGCCTCGGAGGGTTATCAGGAATTGAAGAGGAAGCAAGGTTAGAAACGAGAGGGTTGGGATGATTCTGAAGTTTATTATGGAAGGATAGGTATTTAAAAACTTAAAAACCTTTATTCAAGTAACCTCGATCTTCACATAGTGCCTTGGCAAGTGATCGAGGAATGCCTACGTTGGACATTTTTCTGTTGTACTTGGGACATTCCTGGAATGTGCCTCACTGTGAGGGCTATTTGACAATCTAGACATTTTGGAGGTGGCTGTTACACATTTGTTTTTAAGTCTTTCCTCGACTGCCTGGAGTATGTCCACCTCTTAACGGTAGTTTTAAACAATGTATGTTATTGTGATATTTGTTGGACTCATAGATTTTGCCACTTACCCCATATGTCTTTTATAAGCTTACCCCATATGGTCATTCAGTACTTGACTGAAGACAACTTTCAACTCTATCTAAGAAGTGGGCTTCAGTTCTATCGGCATATCGCTACATTTTATGACAATTTGGCTTGTAGTGTTGCCCAAATGCGAGACCAAGACGAGTCTTGGTCTTGCAAACTCAATCTTGGTCTTGCGCAAGAGTTTTGCAAGAGTCGTGCAGTTACTTATTAGCTTAGAACTAAGTGATCATATTGTAATTCTTTGGATAGGAGAAACCTAACTAAGCCCGAATGAAAAAATAGAGGAGTTAAATGCAAAAGTATATTAGTTATACTGATGATTAACATATAGTAACTAAGATTGTCAAATATTAGTAACTATTTTGCCTTAATTATTATTTTAAAAATCGATTTTTTTTTACCAGTTCTGGTCTTGGTCTTGCAACAGTTAGGCAGCCATGGTCTTTATCTTGCAGAGTGCAAGACCAACAAGACCAATTTTGGGCAACACTAGTGGCTTGGTATTCGTATAAAGACTATAGTTCTGCACAAAATTTTTGAGAAAATTACATATTCTTTCCCAGTATAGAGTTATACTTTTAAGTCTAACTATAGAAAACTTTAAGTGGTTCAAAATCTATGCATGAGAATCCTAAGCAATTGTCCACGATACACAAAAATAGCCACTATGTTAACAGACTAACAGCTACCAACAATAAGACAATACATTTATTTTTAAAAAAATTATTCTTTGAGCTTACAACAATATCTGATAATCCCATGATCCACATAATAGGAAACTATGACAAAAAATCAAACTACAACATAACAAAACCCAACTTCATAACAATTGAAAATATTGATAAATAAGCAGCAACATATTTCCCACAAGTAATTATTGAATAATAATTTGTAAGATATAAAATATGTGAATGTGTGTTTAGTTTTATCTTGTTTATACACTTTAAAGACAGTATGTATTTTTTAAAAATGTTATTTACAACATAACAGGGAGCTTCTTCGAGGAAGGTGTTGATGTCGGAGAGCTTGTTGGCCAAGGGTATTATTCTGTACTCCCTTGGGATCATTCATCATCACATATATGGTAATTAGGGGTTGATTTATTTATTTATTTATTTATTTATTCAATTTAAAATTATTTAAGTGACCATATCTTTTTGTCTATGTTCATAGGACTATGTTACTGGCTGTGTGCGCGTTCTAATATTCTGATTTTAAAAATTTGGCATTCAAATACCATTTTTTTTTTGGTGCCATATAAATTTCTGAAATTGTCTCATATCGCTTTTATCGAAATATGTACATATTGTATAATTGTAATTGTGTATATTATTATATTATAGTATTGATATTGTTTATCCTGTGTTATATGAAAAAGAATTTGTACATGTACAAACATATAATTTTCCTCTCTCATCTTTCCCCACTTTGACTACAGCTGTGTGGTGTACGATGGCCTCTCGGTGGAACTGCGTGAAAGACTCAAAAGACTTATGAATTGCTTCGTAAGATTTGTAATTGGAACCCCGAGACGCTCCCGTGTCTCCCACCACTACACTGAGTTAGGGTGGCTCTTCCTCTCCTTAAGAAGACAATATTTCCTTGGCACTTTCCTTTATCAAATCATTACCGATCATCGTCCTTCTTATGCCTACAACCTTCTCCAATTTAAGTCCTCAATCCATTCACTCACTACAAGATCCCGACCCTCTGACCTATACATCCCTTCTCATAGATCTGCCTCATTCCAAAATTCCTTTATAGCCCGCTCTGTCAACTTTTGGAATTCCCTCCCAATCAAAATTCGACATGCCCCTTCCCTGTACACATTCAAAAACCTCCTATTCCAATTCCTGTTCCAAAAACAGTCAGATAACAGCTAACTATTAATATTATATATGTATTGTGTAGCAATCATATAATCATAACACTTGGTAAGAGATAGTACATGCATTTCCTACTATCGACGTAGGAATTTCAATACATACATTTTTTTTTTTTTTTTATTCAATTATAAGTAACTGTTTATTTTTATATATATATATTCAAGTAAAGTTTTTTTTTTTTTTTTTTTTATGAAATGAACTCATTGTATCTCTTTTTCGTTCTTCATTTCTCAAAGTGTATGTTTATGTTGTTCAACCCTTAAATATAATTTTGTTCATAGTTCAAGTGATTCGTTCATAGTTTTAATTGTTTTGTTCATAATTTTAAATGCTCTGTACATAGTTTTATCTGTATTGTATATAGCTTGTGCACCTAAGGTTTTCTTTACTTTTTATTTTATTTTATCAATTTTATTTATTGTTTCAACGTTCAGGCCAGTAATATTCTATTATTTTGTACATTATTGTTATTCTGAAGGGACTTAGTCCCAGAATAAAGTTTTTTTATAATCTGTCTATCTATCTATATAACGATAGTTAGTTTGCAAAAAAAAAAAAAAAAAAACATTGTTGGTTATACTATACAGAAATTTACCTTATTAATTGTTAAAAATATTTAAAGTAAATACCGAAATAAATAACTTACAATTTTGTTTATTTATTTTTCCATATTATTTATGTTAGAAAAACATAAATGTTAATTAAAAAGTACATAAAAACTGTTGTTGATCAGTGGACGGGAATTTGGTGCTCTGTTTTTATTATACTATTTTTTTTTCTTTAAGGGAACTCATTTGCAAGCTGCTGGGTACTTTACTTACGTAGGGGCAGATTTGTATGGGGAGGAAGAGTGAGGGAGGAGAAATGGACAAAAAAAAAAATGCCGGAGTTTTTATTATGTGTAAAAAGTCTACATAATTATTGTGAAACGAATAAATATAATGTTGAATATTTAAAATTAATTTGTTTATATATTTGTATAGTTGTAAAGAAGTTTATTTATTATTTTATTTTATACATATATATACTAACGGATTCAGGATTTAATTTTGGGGGCTTCAGCCCAAAAGATTTTTTTTTTGTATGTATTTATTAGGATAATTACTTCAGAAGAAAGAAAGAAACTAACTACCAATATAAAATGGTGTTTAAGTGATTCTTGAAGCCCTATTAAATGTAATTGCACGAAAAATAATACTTTAAGAGATAATTTTGTAATATTTTTTTACCGTACAAAATGGTTACATTTTGCCATTTTGGGAGGGGAGGTCAGCCCGAAACTCTTATTATTTCTTCGGGTTGCCGAAAAATAACGCGAGGTTCCCTCTTTACCAGCACTAGTAAACAATTTACGTGACGCTCATGAACATTACTTCTTCCGTTAGAATAAGAAATATATGACATAGTATAGCGTATAGTATGTTATTATAGTAAATAGTTAGTAAAGGAGAAGAGAGATAGAGGCAGAGTAGAGTAGAGTGGAGGGGGGTATCGCTATTGTTGAAGAGGTCGATGGCCCCACTCCACCACCTACCGCCATCCCTGTCTCTGTACCTCCTCTCCTCCGGGCTCTTAGTTCATCTAGTTCTTGTACCTAGTATTGCGTAATATAAACAGCTGTTTTGTTGTCATTCAACAGCTGTTTCAAGGTAAAAAAAATCATCTACGAATTTCTACAGCTTATTTCAGGCACTTATAGGCAAAATGGTATATAAGAGTTAAATGTATGTAAGGTTGATCTCGAAATTGATCAATTTATTTCATACTTAAAGGAAGTTAGTCAACTATTCTACATATAATGGGTGATAAATATTCAGGAGGCAGTCTTTTTTTTTTTTTTTAATTTTATTTATGCCAACGTTTCAACTCCCAAACATATGGGTCATCTTCAGGACTGAAAATTTTTAAAATAGAATCAGAGATATAATAGTATACGACCGATAATGATAAATAATAAACTATAATGATTGATGAATCTTAACTAATATTTCAATACACATATTAAAAATGAAATATGTAAATAGTTACAAACTAAAAATTTTTATTGAATATTTAATAGTTGACCGTTGCATTATAAAGGAAGGAGATGGTCCGGGGTGGCGGTCATAAATAGACTAAATAAGCTTATTCACATTGTTTATAAATTTTGTCTAAATATTATGTAACTGC